GTTAGCAAATGCCTGAATTTGCACAGCCTTGGATCCTGTGGCACCACTGGCTCCCAGGAGTGAAGATAGGAAGGGGCTGTTTTCAGGCAGAAGCCTGGTGATGGTCAGGAACTGGAGTCTAGCAAGCCAGAGTGGGTCGTGGCAGTGCTGTGTTAGTGGCTTCTATTGTGATCAGTACTGTCCGTGGCAGGGAGAAAAACAACCCCCTCTGGAGAGTGGAAGGGAGCTGGCAGCAGCAGCCATCCTGACACCCTCAGAGGTGACTCAGCACAGCCCGGCCCCCGGCACAGCCCTGTCCCCGGGGGCTTCTTGAGCTAGAATCTGGGTGATATGTGGGAAGACACTAGGCAGTGGTAACAGATGCAGGAATCTCACCTCTGCCCCCACCCCAGTGATTTCCAAATTGGCTCATCTTCATCCACCCACCCTGCTCCCATTCCGGCCTCTCTCCGGAGAATTCTCACGCTGATTTGGCTGATTCCACGTCTCATTGCTTATAAGCCATCCTTGGTTCCACCATTGTAGTGACTTTTCCCCCCGTCGGAGCCCCCTTTGCAGACCCTTGCACCCTGTGGCACGAGCCCTGAGGCCACCCTTCTTCCATCGTTTATTTCAAACAGCTTGTTTCTTGTGGCCAAAGACCAAGGATTTCCTTTTTAAAATTGGTCAGTATGTCCTGTGATAAATTCATGGGTATTCTAGCCAAGAAAGACATTTTTGTTGGAATAAAAGTTATAATACTCCCTTTGCTACTTGAAAATAAAATGTGTATTCATCTAAGTAGAATTTAAAGAGCTTAGAGGGGAACAATCCATGATATCATGATCCAGGGCGGCCATTGCTAGCACTCTGGCTCGGTTCCCTATGGCTTTCTTGAAGGCTAAGCTTCAGTCATCTCCTTTTCCTATGAGCCCCTCCCAGTCTGCCTGGGGATGTGTACTCACCCATACCAAATCCATCATCCAGCGTGGTGGCTCACACCTGTAATCCCAGTGCTTTGGGAGGCTGAGGTGGGTGGATCACAATGTCAGGAGTTTGAGACCAGCTTGGCCAACATAGAGAAACCCTGTCTCTACTAAAAATACAAAATATTAGCGGGGCATGGTGGTGGGCCCATGTAATCCCAGGTACTTGAGAGGCGGAGGAAGGAGAATCGCTTGAACCCGGGAGATGGACTTTGCAGTGAGCTGAGATCAGCGCCACTGCACTCTGGCCTGGGTGACAGTGGGAGACTCCATCTCAAAAAAAAAAAAAAAAAAAAAATACCTAGCAGGTTATGTTGGATTTTCACCATTTTCTAGGATCCAACTACTGAGAAATTCAAGTTTCTGTTTTTTTAGTACATCCTCGTTTCCAGATGATCTGCTTGGTTCCTCCTCAAATCCACCCTTGTTTTTGTTGTTTGTTGTTTTTTGAGACAGGGTCTCGCCGTGTTGCCCAGGTTGGAGTGCAGTGACACTGTCATGGCTCACTATATCCTCACCCTGGGGCTGAAGTGATCCTCCTGCCTCAGCCTCCCAAGTAGCTGGGACTACAGGAAGGCACCGCCCTACCCAGCTGATTTTTCAAGTTTATTTTTTATAGAAACAGGATCTCACTTTGTTGCCCAGGCCAGTCTCAAACTCCTGGGCTCACATCATCCACCCACCTCAGTCTCCCAAAGTGCTGGGATTACAGGTATGGGGCACCAGGCCTGGCCTTCTCTTCCTTTTTGAACATTTTATCTCTCCATTATAACTTCTATATTTCTTTGTTCAAATCTTTATTTTCTAGTTTTTCACATTGTTATTTCTGCTTCTTGTAAATGCTTACTCTTACTTTTTGCATCTGCTCGTTCTACGTCAGTGCTGATTCATTCTCATTTCCTTGGTGGCGGGGGCGGCGGGGGAGAATGCAAGCACCAGCTCATCCCCCAAGGAAACTGTCTCCCATGGGGCCCTGCAGATCCTGGGTTGCAGACGTCCTTACAGAGTGGTTCTATGTTTAGATCCGTTAGGACTCGTCGGTTTCTGAGGTGTAGGACTAGTTGTGTTTGGTTCCTGGCTGAGGATTCCTGTACCACACCTACACATGATGCGAGCTGGAGGTTTAATTCCTCGAAAGAGATTTTTCTTTCTTTTGCCACCCAGAGCCTCAGAGATGACAAGTGTCCTTGCCACATCTCCACAAAGGAAGTTTTCTAGTGTCTTATTCTGGGCAGCCCGTTGAGAGTCCTGCTCCCGTCGGGGTCTGAGCTGTGGCTGTCTGCCTCAGAGGCCACAGCCCTAGCCTTGTGTAACATTAAGCCCCTGTGTGGAGGGCCTGCAGACGACCTGACGCCTCGCTGACCGGCACGCGTCCTCGTTGCCGTTCCCTCTGGCAGCGATCCCTCTTCATTTCTGGCACCCATGGGTTTCTCTTTCCTTGTTTCAGGCATGCAGTTATATGTTTGTTCTGGAAGCGACCATCACATTAGCTCAGTATTCAGTGTTGCCAGAACCTTCCGCATCCTGCTTCCAATGGCAAAAGATGAGAAGGCTCTGGGCATGGCACCCCTTTCATTCTGGCTTTTATGTCTGAAATTTAGGGGAAAGAAGGGCTGGCCTGTTCTGAGAAGTTTACTGAGCACATTGACTGACGTCCCTCTGGAGGGGTGCCCTCTAGCTCTTTCCCCACATTGAAGAGTGAAAACATCTACCCCTCAGTCCACCCGGAGAGTGCACCAGGCCTGTGGCGTATTACTTCAGAAAGGTCACTTCACGGGTGGGTGGAATCTGAACCCACCTCTGGTGAGGACTCAAGGTCCAGCCTCCTCGGTCCATCTGAAGGTGGTCTGGGGAGGCTGGACCTGGTGGCCCTGGGGTGGTGGAGTCACCCTCCAGCAGAGGTAAGGGACAAGAGACATGCATGGGCTCACCTTGAAAGGGAAGGAGGCAGTATAGCTTAGTGGTTATAGGCCTGCGCTCTGAGCCGGACAGCTTGGCTGCAATTTCTGGCTCCACAGCTTACCCAGTAGCCATAGGCAGGGGGATTTTTCTCTGTGTGCCTCAGTTTCCCATCTGTCAGTGGAAATTGTTGCAATACCTACCTCAAGTTGGGAAGATTAAATGAGCCACATCATGTGAACACTGAGCATAGTGCCACGTGCTCAGTAAAGGCTGGTGGCTGTCATCGTTCTTGGCTCCTAGTCCCAGGATGGCACTGTCCTATTTGGATTCACTTCTTATTCTCCACACATCATTCTCCTTTGAGTTCTTAGGATACTTGTAGAAGTCATCTGATGAGCAGTCACCTGTGAAGGACACTGTTTCCGTTGATTTCATTTGGGCCCTAAGAAGTAGGCAAGAGCTGGAGGTTGATGCTGCTGCAGGTGTTCGCCGCCTGCCTGGCCCAGTGACAGTTGCTGTGGGAGTGCTTAAATATCCCTTTGGTGCTGTGGAAACCAAAATGGGAATTGGAAGGGACTTGGCCAGGAGAAGCCTTCCACACAGAGGTGACTTTACAGCCTCTGGCAGATGCAGCTCAGCCTCTGCAGGCCAGAGAACGGGTTTCCATTAAGGCCCATGTGGGGGCTCTAGGTGTTAGAAAGCTTTTCCCTGTGTTGAACCACAATCCACTTGCCTGTAACTTCTACCCTTTTGTCTCGGGTCTAGTTCATAGACTGATAAAATGCATGGCCTGGTCCACATGTCATTCCTTCAGAAGTGTGGCAACAGCTGCCACGTCTCTTCCCACTCATCCTACTGCCAACTTCAAAGTGATAACTCTACCATGGGTCTGTGGGACATTGCCGAGGACCACCCACCACCCACCACCCACTTGGCAGCAGCCAGCCCTGTTCTCAGATTGCGGGCGCCTCATATGCGTTGTGCTCCTTGCTCTGTAGGAGGAGATGGCTGAGCTGAAGGCCCAGCTCTACCTACTGGAGAAAGAGAAGAAGGCCCTGGAGCTGAAGCTGAGCACACGGGAGGCTCAGGAGCAGGCCTACCTGGTGCACATCGAGCACCTGAAGTCCGAGGTGGAGGAGCAGAAGGAACAGCGGATGCGGTCCCTCAGCTCCACCAGCAGCGGCGGCAAAGACAAACCTGGCAAGGTAGGGCCGGAGTGGCTCAGAGACACCCTTAGGCTCAGGTCTCCCGTGATGCCCAGTGACCACTGACCACACCTCACTGCCCTGCTGCCTCCATTCTTGTATTTGCATAAGAACTGCAGGCCATTGCTAGGTATCTAAGGAGGTGACATTTTGAGTGTAACGAAACCAGTCTACATTTTAGAAATACCAAATCTCACTTTATGTAGTAGTGGAAACCTTTTCACATATCGCAGTCACATTACAGAAGCAGTCTCTGCAACTGTCCACTGATACTGGTCTCACCTCCTTCGTCTAATCCTCTGTCACACGGCAGACCTCATTTGTTGGTTTATGGATACAATAGTGCCCCCTTTATCCGCAAGGGACACGATCCAAAATCCCCCAGGGATGCCTGAAACCACAGATAATACTGAACCCTTATATATTCTACGTTTTCCCCTATACATACCTGTGATGAAGTTGACTTTATAAGTTAGACACAGTAAGAGATTAACAACAACTAATAAAATATTAATAGAACAATTTTAACAATATGCCAGCATCATTACTGTTGCACTTTGGGGCCATTATTACATGACATAAGGTTACTTGAACACAAGCACTGTGACGCAGGGACAGTTGATCTGATAACTGAGACAGCTACTAAATGACAGCTGGGTGGGGAGTATCCACGTTGTGGCTGCGCTGGACTAAGGAGGGGTGATCCACAACTCGGGTGGGATGGCCCGGGACGGTGCAAGATTTCATCACATTGCTCATAATGGTGCACGATTTAAAACTTATGAATTGCTTATTTCTGGGATTTTCCATTTAATATTTTCAGACCATGGTTGGCCTTGAGTAACTGAAACCACAGAAAGCAAAACCACAGTTAAGGGGGAGCTATGGTACTTCTGTACCAATGATTGCATTTATTGTCACCCTTAAGTTTCACAGGTCTGAGGAAAGAATAGTTATCCCCATTTACATGAGAAAAATGAGACTCAAAGAAGTGCAGAGTCTCACAGATGATAAATGGCAGAGTTGGGATTTAGCCAAGATCCACTAACGGGCTCTCTTCCTTTCGCTGCATTTCCTCCTCAACTCCTTCCTGCTGGCATTTCTGCCGTCATGGGGTAGTAAGCGGGAAGCAGCCTGCAGGCAGAGGAGGAGGAAGGAAGCCTTGGGTTACGGAGCCTACGTCATCTGAGAGTGGGCTGTCTGGTGGCAGAATTTTGCAATCTCACTCTCTTATCAGCCCCCAGGTGTTTTTTTGCTTTTTTTTTTTCCCCTGGAATCCAAGTTCATTCCATTATTCTGTATTTCAGAATTTTCTAAATACTGCATTGGGGAAAAAAAAAAAAACACAAAACTGTGGACTCTAAAGAATTATATTCCTTGTCCAAGGGTCCCCTATATTCTGTGCATCATATTTTTCTATTCCTAATAAATACAAGCTTCTCTTGACCCCTGTTTGTTTCAGACAGGACTTGCAGTCATACTCCAGCTTGCTAGTCTAATACGCGGCTTCTCATAGCACAAGTGCAGGACCGTCTCCAGGAGAGCCATGTACCTGGGAAAGAAGGAACAGTACTGATATCATGTGGCAGTGAATTGTCACTCCAAAAATAGTTAAGAATTCTAAAGCATGATTCACAAATGGCCACAGCTATGCCTTTCCCCACCTCCCACGTGCTGAGGAGCCGAGGCAGGAGCTGTGGCACCCAGCCAGGCCCACCCTCCCAAGACCCTGGCTGCTTTTTATTCATCCGTTCAGCTGATAAATGTGATTTGGCCCCACAGCATGGCAGAACAGACGCAGGGTGCTAGAGGCAGCTCTGTGGTAGACAGGCAAAGTCTGTCCTCCAGGATCTTACGTTCTTGGGAGGAGACTGGTGGGCAAACAGATGATCACAGCAGTGATAGAGTGTCCCCAGTGTGAGGATCAATTCCTAGCACCATGGGAGGCCACAAGCAAGACACAGATGTCCACTGTGGAGATTGAGGACAGGTTTTCTGGAAGAAATGAACTTCTGAACTGAGCCCCAGTAGAGAGTGGGAGCTGGCTTGTTGAAGAGGGGAGAGAAGAAGCCACCCTTCAGCTGATGAGAGGAGTGGAATCGATGCATTGGCTGGAGTTACCTTGAGGGCCCTGCGGAATCATGGAAGGGCTTCAGCAGGAGACGATGTGATAAAGTTTGCGCTTTAGAGAAGTCACTACGCCAGTTGCACTATGAGGCCATCTGCCCAAGCCTGGGAGAGGCGAGTCAGGCTGTGCAGTGTGGGTGGACACCAGCCACGCAGTGCTGTTTCACACGGCAGTATCTGGGACTCGGGAAGGTGGGGTTTCCTGTTCCATACACACACTTTCAAAAAATCTTTTTTTTTTTTGCCTTTTGAGTTTGTTAGCAGTCAGTTAGGGACCAAGCCTGAGAGACAGAGCGGTAGTGTTTGTGTATGTGTTCTTAGGGTGTGGTGGAAATGGACTTACCAGGTTCTTGCCAGAAGGCCCATGAACTGAGCATTTTCCCCTAGTTCCTGATATTTATTTTGTCTGGGGGAAACACTGTTATGTGGAGTGGCTTCAAAGTAAGGAAATTTGGCTGGACATGGTGGCTCATACCGATAATCCCAGCACTTTGGGAGCCCAAAGCGGGTATAACTTGAGGCCATGAGTTGAAGACCAGCACGGCCAGCAGGGTGAAACCCTGTCTCTACTAAAAATACAAAAATTAGTTGGGCATGGTGATGGGCAACTATAATCCTGGCTACTTGGGAGGCTGAGGCACGAGAATTGCTTGAACCTGGGAGGCGGAGGTTGCAGTGAGCAGAGATCATGCCACTGTACTCCATCCTGAGCAAAAGAGCAAGACTCTCATCTCAAAAGAAAAAAAAGTAAGAAAATCTCTTTGATGGAAAAGGGCAGATGATTTTTTTTTAAACATTACAGTAAGAAGCTTTATAAGAGTATGTTATGTTTTTAAGGTAATGAAATAAGAATGAGCTGATTATCTTGCCTTTTAAATAGTAGATCCATTTATTGTTTGAATAAAGTTTCTCATCTGGGCTCTTCACCTGGTCTTACCTGTTGGTGAATGAGGCAGAATGTCTAGAGCCGGGGTGAGCACTTTTCTGTGAAGGGCCACACAGTAAATGTTGTAGGGTTTATGGGTCATTTGAACGCAGCTGCAGCTACTCAGTTCTGCTATTGTCCAATGCTAGAGCAAAGGCAGAAGCAACAGGGAGACCAATGGGCATGGCTGTTTCCAGTAACACTTTATTTATGTATTTATTATTATTATTACTTTTTTTTTGAGACAGCGTTTCATTCTTGTTGCCCAGGCTGGAGTTCAATGGCATGATCGCAGCTCATTGCAACCTCTACCTACCAGGTTCAAGTGATTCTCCTGTCTCAGCCTCCCAAGTATCTGGGACTACAGGCATGTACCACTACACCCAGCTAATTTTGTATTTTTATAGAGGTGGGGTTTCACCTATTTGGTCAGGCTGGCCTTGAGCTCCTGACCTCAAGTGATCCACCCGCCTTGGCCTCTCAAAGTGCTGGGATTACAGGCATGAGCCACCGAGCCTGACCTCTAGTAGCACTTTATGTGTAGACGTTGACATTTGAATTTCATGTAATTTCTACTGGTCACAAAATATTCTTTTGACTTTTTAAAATGATTTTAAAAATAGAAAAACCATTCTTATCCTGTGGGTCATACAAAAACAGCTGGCAGGCCACATTTGGGTCTGAAACATTTATTCTTGCTCCGCTGGGTGGGTGTTCATGCCTCTTTAAAAAGTTTCCCTCTGACTGCCACAGCTGAATTCCAAATTTTATCCAAGTTGTATTAGGTTTTTGAAATTCTTGTCTGTGTGCACCAGATACTGCCAAGTATTTTCAGTGTGAGGCACCGTGAATGAGACAAAGCAGTCCCTGTCTTTAAGGAGTCTCCTGAAATGTTAACATCAAATGGCAATGGATATACAAAAAGTGAGGATGTTGTGGGAATCTCAACAGATTGCAAGGGTGGTGGACAGAGAACTTGGGTCTCTGGGCACAGGTAGATAGAGAGGAGGTGGGAGGCGGTCCAGGTGGAGGACATGGTAGAGGGAAGAGCACTCGGGTGTTGGCAGCGCCACTGCCGAGGAACTGCCTCGGGAGACCATGTGCCTGGACTTCCAGCACTGAATCCTTGCTTCTCTGTAGCTCACATCTTATGATACAATTTTCTGTTTACATTCCATCTCCTGCAGCAGATCACAAGATTTTTATTCTGAGGCCTGCAGCTCGGCAGCTCCTCGTGTCTGTTGAGAGATCATCCAATGAATGCCCTCCCCTGGCCGCATTGCTACATAGTGTGGCTGCCGCCCGCTGTGTGCATGGAACAGAGAACGCTCAACCGTGGCCACTGCCTTGAATAGCCTTCACTCTAGGATTTGGAGCTCTGGCTCTTCAGTTTTCTCATCTGCAGAGTGGGAGGATTTGCTTTAGATGATGTCAAGGTCCCTGTCTAATGGTCATCTGTGGGGGCTGGGGGTACATTTCTGTCTTCCTCTTCCTCTCCTGGGTTTTCTTGATGATTAAGAACCCAGTAAAGCTCCTAAATCTAGAGGAGATTGGTTTCCTCCCAAGGAGAAGTGGGATGGGACAACAGGGATATTCACAGGTATTTCTCACTTGTCTTTTATGATTATGAGAGGCCTTACCTAGTAGTCAGGAGATTGATCTGGGGGCCACACAGCCTGGGTTTGAATCCTGGTTCCACAGTTTCCTAGCTGGTGACTGGGCAGCATAACTACTCTGTGCCTTAATTTCCTCGTTGGTAAAATGGGGGTAATAATAGTTCCTGCCTCAGAGATTACTTGTGGTGATTGAGTGATTGAATGCATATGGTGCGCTTAAACCAGTGCCTGGCATCTGCGTGAGCTCAGAGCACACCAGGTCTCATTACCACCGCAATGGCCAGCCTGCAAAAGGAGCCAGAGGTCTGGGAGCAGAGGGGGCTCTTTGGCTTGCTGACAGGCTTTCCCCTTGAGCACTATCTGAGAGCACCGTCTAGCACCCACACTGCTGCCATCACTGCACTAGCCACCGACCACACTGCTGCAGGTTTCCAGGGTGCTGTCCGGCTTGGATTCAGGTCTAACAGGAATGTGTTTGCTGTTGTCAGGAGTGTGCTGATGCTGCCTCCCCAGCTCTGTCCCTAGCCGAACTCAGGACTACGTGCAGTGAGAGTGAGCTGGCTGCGGAGTTCACCAACGCCATCCGTCGGTAAGCACCCTTCCCCACCCCACAGGTTTATCCTGCGCCTGGAGGCTTTGTTCCGAGTTCTGGTAGCTGCTCGAGAAAGGAGAAGGTGCTGATGTGTTCCCCTTTGCCCATATCTTGGAGGCCAGAAATGGAAAAGGCCTGTTGGTGCCCCGCCTTTCAAAACGGAGTGAGGAGAGAGAGCACTTAGGCAGTCGTTTTGTCTGTGAATAAGAAGAAAATTCTCTGTCCTTTTTTGTTACTTGTTACATTGGCTAGAAACTTGAGGACAGTGTTAAATCGTGAGTGAAAACAGGCATTCTTATCTTGTTTCTAACTTCAGCAGGAATGCTTTCCTTCAGCGTGTATTTATTCAGTTCTGGGAAATTTTCCTCTGTTATTTCAGTGTTTTTTTTCCCCCTTACCATGCCCCAATTCTTTATCTCCTTCTGTAAGAGGAAACAGATCCTGATTCATCCAGCTCTGTCTTCCGTGTCTTACCTTTTCATACCTTCTTTCCATCACTCGTTTTGTTCTGGCTTCTGTAGCAGCATTGCCCAGTAGAACTGTAATGTGAAGCACATATGTAATTTTAAAGTTTCTAGTAGCCACATTAAAAAGAACGAAAACAGCTGAAATTCACTTTGATAACATTTTGACACAATATGTCTAAATTATTTTAACATATAATCAGTATTTTCTAAAACTATTAATGAAATATTTTACAGTTTTTTTAACTAAGTTTTCAAAACCTGGTATGTATTTCATACCTCAAACTCAGACATTTCAAGTTCTCAGGAGCCACATGTGGCTGGTGGCTACCCTATCAGATAGATGGAGTTCTGGAGAGAGATATTTTTTGGCTCAGTTTTCCAGCTAACAAATTTATTCTTTAGATTCATTGTGATGTTTGACCTATATGTCAAGTTTTTGTACTTTGGTGATTAAATTTATGATCTCTTTTTAAGTGATATGATATCTTCTTGGATCTCTTTGAGGATTTTTAGTATGCTAATTTTTTTTTTTTTTTTTTTTTTTTTTTTTTTTTTTTTTTTTGAGAAAGAATCTCACTCTGTTGCTCCAGCTGAAGTGCAGTGGCACAGTCAAAGCTCATTGCAGCCTCACCCTCCCAGGCTCAAGTGATCCGCCCACCCCAGCCTCCCAAGTAGCTAGGATCACAGGCACGTGCCCCTACACCTAATTTTTTTTTTTTTTCGTAGAGACAGGGTCTCCCTATGTTCCCAGGCAGGTCAGAAAACATCTGCCTTTCATTTTTTATGAGGGCCCAAGTGATCCTCCCACCTTGGCTCCCAAAATGTTGGGATTACAGGCATGTACCACCATGCCCAGTCCTTACATTCCTTAATCTTTTTTGTCTGCTGTATTAACTCTGTTTCTTCACATGTAATTTTTTTCATAGTTGACTCTTTCTTAGTGTTGGCTTTCTTTAAATATTCAATGGTTCTTGTTTGTGTGTTCATTCTTATACCTTAAATTCCTAGGTCACTTGTTTGAGGGTTCTTTTTTTCTTTCTTTCTTGTTTTTTCTTTTTTCTTTTTTTTAAGACAGAGTCTTGCTCTGTTGCCCAGGCTGGAGTGCAGTGGTGCGATCTTGGTTCACTGCAACCTCCCTCTCCCACGTTCAAGCAGTTCCCCTGCCTCAGCCTCCAGAGTGGCTGTGACTCGGGCATGTGCCACCACACCCGGCTAATTTTTTGTATTTTTAGTAGAGACTGGGTTTCACCATGTTGGCCAGGCTGGTCTGGAACTCCTGACCTCAGATGATCCATCCGCCTTGTCCTCCCAATGTGCTAGGATTACAGGCGTGAGCCACCATGTCCAGCCATCCTATTTGAGAGTTCTGTATCTACTTAATACAGCCTGCTACCCAGAAAATGTAGCCAGTTCCTTTAGAGTGCTGTCAGCTGGGTCAGCTGGATCAGAATCTGTCTCCTGGGCTTTCTGTGCCTCCTGGTTAATAACAGCTCTCTAGTTTGCGTATCTGACCTAAGCGTCTGATCCCCTCCGGTTCTGGTAGCCAACACCTCTGGTTGGAGCACCTTTGAATCCCCTTCTTCCTTTTGCAGAGTATTTTTCTGCGTGCATTTTGAGTTGTGGTGGTTTCCTTTTTCAGGAAGAAGAAAACATCTGCCTTTCATTTTTTATGATTGCACATGGTTTCTGGTATACAAAGAGCCCTCCTTTCTAAGATGCTCAGGGGTTTTAAAAAATGTCTTTCCTGTCATTTCTGGTGATTTAGGGTGGGAGGGGAAGGCTACAGTGTATTCTCAGTCCGCGAACTTGATCCAGCAGGCCTGTTTTAGGATGGCCTCCAAGCTGATGGTGGATGGAAGGTTGCGTTATGGGGAACTTCACTACCTTCCTGATTTACTGTCACTTTTTGTCTTTCCTTCCAAGTTGTAATAGCCATGTTTTTACTTTGCCAGCGCCTCTGGCCGTGTAGTTAAATGGTAATTGTTCTGGTTAGGGTGGGAAGAGAAAAGCTGCACAGAAAAATGCTCTCAACAAATCCTAATGACTTAAGTGTGCCAGAAACATGGGATGGAAATCCACTCCCCATGTCCAACTGGGAGCTGTTTGGATATTGTATCTGTAAGCTAAGCCCTAAATTTTTCAAATTTCCCAAACCTCAGAGGCCTTTGCTGGCACAAGGAAGATGCAGGTTGTGCTGACTTAACATAAAGAGATTTCATTTGTCCTGTCAGTTGCAGTGGATTTCCAATAACCAGCCTTAAGTTGGTTAGCATGGATTTCTAATCAAGACCCAGATGGATGGAGCCAAGAACGAACCCACAGAGGTAAAGGAAAAAGGAAAATAACATAATGATGCTGTAAATAGAGCTTAGAAACGGGAATCGTCATTTCACGGGGGTGTACAGGGCGCACGCCTCAGGGCTGCAGTTTGGGTTTGTATTATATACCTTCGAAGTGACTATTCCTGAGGTTTTTATTTTTAAAAATCAAGTGGAAACTAACACCTTTTTTGAAGGTATGAAATCACTGTCGAGCTCATGGTTGAGGTCAGCTGGGAGAATCTTACCAGCATTTTCAGCGATGTTTCTCCCTTGAAAAAAGGATGGTTCCAGACACCACAACTGTGGGCCCAGATAGCCAGACTGAAAAGATCGGGTGTTGCTAAGGGAGGAGGAAGAGGCTAAGCCATGGGCTGTCCCTAAGGGGAATCAGCCATCCCAGGGAAGCGGCCCTGTGACACTTCAGTCACTGGTTCTGGGTCATGACACTGTCCCCAACCCAACCTCCCCTTACCTGGCCGGCCCTGCCATCCAGCCCTGGCTCTCTGTGCATCTTCTCCTAACTTTCTTCTGTTTGGAACAAAACCAGGGCTCCATGCCACCCCACATTTACTGTATGTATAACTGTATAACTCCCATCTGGTCTGATTTCATTCCCCCCACTTCAGTGAACATTTATTGCAGTTTGTTGGCTCTGGCATTGCCATAAAACCCCATCTGGATGACCAGGTTTACAGTCTGGCACACGAGATGTTTTCTTATCAGGGTATCTTGTTTTCACTCTTGTCCATCCAGCCTGTGTGCTATAAAAACCTCTCTTTCTCAGATCTGTCTCTCACCCTTGGTCCTAGTAAAATTTAACTGAATGATCTTTCCATCAAATAAGTGATCTATAAAAAGACAGCTAAATTAGGGAATTTTCAGAAATGACTCTTTTTGTACTCACATGATGCCTGCCCTCGGGACCTGAGCACAGCTGAGAGGAGCAGACTAGTTCGTCTCCGTCATGTTCTTGGGAGGCAGCCGGGAGCAGGTGCTGCTCTCCATATGATCTGGGGGGGCGACTGGAACAGCAAGGCTGAGTGATCTCTCAAGGTCACACAGTGAGGCAGTGAGGAAGTCCACATGTTTCTACATTCTCTGTGGGGAGCCCTTGCACCCCACATGTGCTGGCAGCGTTGAGTTTGCTTGCAGATAAGGGAGCTGAGCCCACTCGTTTATCTGAAGACACTACCCCCTGTGTGACTGGTCTGGGCAGTGAGAAACCTCTGTGCCTTCACTAAACAGCCATGCCTTAGTCTGCCAGTGCGGAAGGCAAATGAGGTGCCGTCGCAGGAGGAAGGCTTCCTTAAACACACAGAGCTTCAAAGCAATGCCATATGTCAGCCTTAGTCTTGCTGATAACAAAGTAAGGATCTGAGCCGTGGCATACACCTGGAGTTCCTGGGGAGGCTGAGGCAGGACAATCCCTTGAGGTGAGGAGTTCAAATCCAGCCTGGGCAGCATAGCGAGACTCCGTCTTTAAAAATATAAGTAAGTAAAAAATACATTTTTCAAGTAAGGATCTGTGCTTCCTCAGTGCTAGGAGACCGGGAGTAGACAGGAGGGGCCTGTGCCATGGTGACGAGCAGCGCGTGGTGCTGCCTCACAGGCACTCGCCTTTCACTCTACCCATGAGCAGGGCGAGGCAAGCCCTACACACTACCTGCAGGAGGTGGTGCCCTCCCTCCAGGAGGCTGCGGTCATTCAGTCACAGACCCTCCAGGGGCTGCACCCACCCTCCAGGGAACTGGGATATGCCACCTGTGTCTGCGTGTGTGCCAGATGGTTCTGTAAAGTGCCACATTAAGGCAATGGACAAATCACAGTGGCCGTTCCATCCAGGAACAGCATGCCCCTGACTCATCCACCAGAGGAGGGCGTCCTTTCCTCCTTCTGCTGAATAGCAAGCAGGCAAGCTGCCGCTGCTGGGACACAGGACTGCGTGCCAGAGCCCTGTAAGGAGACATCCAGTGGCAGGAGGGTTCCATCTGATGAGTGTGATCACAAGAGACCAGGTCTGGAGGGCCTGAACATGATGCTGATGGGGAGTGGAGGAGGCCACAGAGGAAGGAGAAGGCACAGGAGGCAGTGTCCCAGGGTTCAAAGAGACAGAGTGGGAATTGCCCCCATCATCCCTGGTCATACACTGCTGCTGTGCAGGTTACTTGGATGGGGGATTTCCTGGGGGCAGACCTTAGAACATCTAGCAGGGGAGGATCAGAAGTTGAGAAAAGAAACTACTTCAAAGCCAAGAGGCCAAGCACGTCAAGATGAGGGTGGATTAAGAAGGTGAGAGGCAGGAAGCGAAGACAAGTGGTTAGAACCTTTGCTGTGCAGGCAGCAAAACTATCAAGGAATTTTTTTAAGAAGGAACAGCTTGAGCTGGGTGCGGTGGCTTATGCCTATAATCCCAGCACTTTGGGAGGCCAACGCAGGTGGATCACAAGGTCAGGAGTTCAAGACCAGCTTGGCCAGCATGGTGAAACGCCATCTCTACTAAAGATTAAAAAAAATTAGGCATGGTGGCCTGTACCTGTAGTCCCAGCTACTTGGGAGGCTGGGGCAGGAGAATCGCCTGAACCCGGGAGGCGCAGGTTGCAGTGAGCTGAGATCACGCACTGCACTCCAGCCTGGGTGACAGAATGAGATTCTGTCTCAAAAAAAAAAAAAAAAAAGGAGGAGAGACAGCTTGGAGTAGTGGCATATGCCTGTATTCCCAGCTACTCATGAGGCTAAGGCGGGAAGATTGCTCCAGCCTGGGCAGCACAGTGAGACCCTCTGCCTCTTCTAAAAAGGAGGAGGAGGAGGCACTAGAGCACACTGTGCTCCTAAGAACAATCCAATACAAGGATAGAAATCCTTCAGGGTCAAAGAGTAACATTACAGGATGCGAACCTGATGGTGCCCCTGTAATAGTTTTCTATTGTTGTGTAACAAATTATCATGAATGTGGCCTAAAACAACACCCGTTACTAGCTCACAGATTCTGTGCATCAGATGTCTGGGTGCAGCATGACTGGCTTCTCCACCTAGGGTCTTGCAGGGCTCCAATCGAAGTGCCCTCTGGGGCTGTGTTCTCTCTGGGGCTCTAGAGAGGACCCTGCTCCCACACTCCTCCTGCTTGTGGGTGGAATTCAGTTCCCTGGGGCTGCAGGACACAGGTCCCATTTTCTCACTGGCTTTTGGTCTGGGGGCTGTCAGCTCCTAGAGCCCTCACACTCCTTCTGCAAAGCCAGCAGCAAGAACCTCCCTCAGACAAATCCCTCCCATGCTTCAACTCTATTTCCAGGAAAAGCCCAGGTCTTTCTACAGACTCGCCTCATTAGGTCAGGTCCACTCAGAAAAAAAAAATCTCCTTGTCTTAAGGTTAGCTGTTTGGCGACCTTAATTATATCTGGAAAATTCCTTCACAGCAGCAACTAGATTAGGGTTTGATGAAATAACTAGGGAAGGTGTGTGTACACTAAAAGGCAGAAATCCTGGGTGCATTTTAGTATTCTGCTTACTGGACCCAATTACTGGCAACCTTCCGTGCCCCGAGTGTGTCCAGGCTCCTCGGCCGGTTGTGTGGTCTTGCCTGAGCCGTCCCCACGCTCACCTCCTACCCATGCCCCGGCCACCCGCACCCATGCGACAGACTGCTCTTCCTCCTGTGCCTCTGGGGCTTCACTCTTGCAGCTGCTTTTGCCCTGGCCCTGCCCAACCCTGTTCCCCAAACATTCACATAAGTGTGACTTCAGCCTGTCTGTAAAATGGATCCGGATGTTCCCTTCTCTCCTCCCAGCAGAAGTGACACCCTCTCCCACTTCTTTTTTGTTCCTTGTGCCCTGAATTTCCTTCTATCATAGAACACTCCACTGCTCATTTCTTAATGGGCCAGGTTCTACTGCCTGCTACCCTCCTTAACCCTCAATCCCCCCACAAAACAAGAGTCCTTTTAGGGGCAGGGATCATGGCTTACTCAGCGAAGTACATGACTTCAACTCTGATGTCTTTAGTTGTTTCTTCTAAATGGTCCCCAAGTCATCTCAACTTCATGCCCACTGGACATCTCCACCCAAATATGCCAGAGCCTCACAACAGCACATCCAAAACAATTCTGTTTCTTCCTGCACTTTGAAGAATTCCTATTTATGTTAAAAATCCCCTTCTCCTAATGTTCCAGGATTATAACTTGTAAGTCTCCCCTCCCAGCCTCTGGTCCGTAGGTCATATTCTTTCCTTAAAATCCCTTGCATTCCTTTCTGTTACACTGACCCTCAGCGCCTCAGAACTCACAAAGTAGTATCCTGATGGGTCATTCTGCTGTTTGATTCTGCCACCAAAATACCTGAAAACATACTCAGGATTAGCCCTTGCCTATTAACAGTGCCCTAGAACAAACCAAGTCTCCTCGGGGTTCAAATCCAAGTCCAAGTTCAAAACTATCCACCCAACTGTAGAAAACTTCCAGACTTGTAGGAGCCAACGTTTGGCCATGAATGGAAAAAGAATGACACTAGACCCCTATTTCAGCAGCTGTGGATGAATACTGTTTTTGAGCTACACAGAGTGGGATAAAATGAAGAGGGAACTGGGTGGGGTGCTTGTTAAAAGGGAGCCCCCACTGAATAAACAAGCAGCAGAATCTTCACTGCTTCATTAGCAGGACCATTATTGTAAAAGATGCTGTTTTTAAACCTGCACTTGCTGATCCTTCATATTTGGTTGACTTATAAAAGCAATCAAGCAGTGGAAGTTGTGCTTAGAATTCCACAAAAGCACATGCATCTGCAGGACATTAATGAAACACAAAGTGCACCTGTGGGTTCATCAGCGTAAATAAAATGCTGAGCCCCAGAGCCAAGGGCCTAGAAGCACAGAGGGTGAAGACTGAGGCTCCCTCAAGGGATTGAAGGAGTTGTTGCTTAACTAAGATTTCTTTCACTTTTCTGTCATTCCCCCAACATCCCGAAAGCTCAAAGAGAAGGCGGCTTCGCCTGGTATCTCATAAAGGCAGAGTGGTGGAGGGCACGGGAACACATAGCAGCCACCGGCAAGTCTTGTGAAAATTCCAGGCACTTTTCCTGGACAAGAAACATGTTTGTGGCAAAGTCTGGGCAAAAAAAAAAAAATCTGCCATTGTCCTTGTGCTGCTCCTCCTGGCAAAACACAGCCACGTGCATACCTGCAGAACCTCATTATCTGGGGACGCTTGATCCTTAGTTCTGTGGGCGTGCGATTTAGTGAAGGTCTTGTTTATCTTGCACTCTACTGTATTCCCTTTATAAATCACAGGCTACTTCAGCGAGATGGGTAAGGGCACAGGCTCTGCAGACAGAATCCCAGGTGGGAGTCCCCGTTCTGCAGGTGACTGGCTATGGGCAAGTCTCTTAACTAACCTGAAGTTCCTCATCTATTGGCCAGGTGTGGTGGCTCACGCCTGTAATCCTAGTATTTTGGGAGGCCAAGGCGGGTGGATCACCTGAGGTCAGGAGTTCGAGACTGGCCTGGCCAACATGGCGAAACCTCATCCCTACTAAAAAACAAAAATTAGCTGGGCATGGTGGTGCATGCCTATGATCCCAGCTACTCAGGAGGCTGAGGCAGGAGAATCGCTTGAACCCACGCAGTGGAGGTTGCAGTCAGCCTGAGATCATGCCACTGCCCTCCAGCCTGGGGGAAAGAGCAAGACTCCCTCTCAAAAAAAGATCCTCATCTTTAAAAATGTGAATCATGGTAGTACTGACTTCAAAGGTTATGTGGGAATTAAATGACTTTATCCTTATAAAGGACTTATCTGCTGCCTGGATTTTCTGAAAAAATAAACATCGTAGTGATTGCCATGAAGGAAATAGGGTGATGTGATAGTCACTGTGGAGGTTTGTTTTTTTCCAATAAAATAAGTGTAGTTTCCAATGAATAACATAAAGGAATGGCAAGGTGCGGTGATGTCATAGCTCTGGGACTTGAGTTTAGATGGGTGGTCAGGCTGGGCCTCTCTGGGAGGTGACACTGAAGTTGAGTTGAGGAGGAGAGAGGCAGAAACACATCCCAGGCAGAGGCCCTGGGTGTGTAGGGGTGTGCTGAGGACCTACAGGATTCCAGCAGGGCCAGGGTGATTCCCGCAGCCCAAAGGCCCAGCAAGTGGTGCTCAGGTCAAGCAGGGCTTTAGAGGTCCAGGCAAGACCACAGGGTTTATTCCAAGTGTAGGTGAAAGGCACTGACGGGCAGTAACATGATCAGATCTGTCATGTGAAATGCTACCCGGGCTGCTGTGTGAAAACCAGGACAGAGGGCAGGGGTGGAGACAGAGAAACCAGTTAGCAGGCTGTTGCGGTTGTCCAGGTGAGAAGTGATGACCATTTGGGCCTAGGTGTGGTGACAAATGGCAGGACGAGAATTGGTAGATAGGGTTTGCTGATGAACAGGTGTGGAGGATGAGGGGAGGAGGAGTTAAGGCTGACTCTAAGTAACTGAAACCACCTTTGCAAAAATTTTATCAGTGAGAATACTCTGACAGTGAGAGAGATCTGAGCCCAGTGAGTAACCAGGTGAATGGTGGTGCCATTTGCCGACACACAAGAGAGACTGGCTGTAGGAGATCATCTGGGAAGTAATCCTCTGGACATGTGAAATCACAGAAGCCAGTTAAGAGGCCACAGACAAGTCCAGAGATTCAAGGAAAGTCCTGGAGATAAGAATGTGTAAGTTTTTAGCACATATTTTTTGGGAAAAGGGAACTGTGGGAGTCCATTTGAGAACAGGGTAAGATAGCAGCCGGGCGCAGTGGCTGACACCTGTAATCCCAGCACTTTGGGAGGCCAAGGTGGGCGGATCGCAAGGTCAGGAGTTCAAGACCAGCCTGGCCAATATGTGAAACCACGTCTCTACGAAAAAAAAAACAAAGAGAGAAAAGGGTAAGATAAAATACAGGCCAGGCCCAAGTCCTAAACAACACCCAGTATTTTGGAGTATAGAAAGGGGGCAGCTAATGAAACAGGATGAAATGCAGGCTATGGAGGCCTTGTACAAGCCATGAGTAAAGAGGTGGTCAGCCTGCAGGTGGTGCGGGCAGGTTGGGAAAGGATAGATGGGACCACTGGAGGCCGCAACGTGGAGATTGCTGGTGCGCCCAGCAAGCCCTGTCATTGGAGGCAGAGCCTGACGGGTTAAAAGTAAATGGAAGGTGAGGACTAGAGAAATCACATACGCAGGCAATTCTCTTAGTGACTAATTCCATATAATCAGCAATTACTAAGAAATTCCAGGCCCTGTGGCTACATGGCTGTGACTCCCTGCGGTTTGGTCTGATTACAGCTCCTCTGAAAGGTTTCCTGGCCGGCTGCGAAGCCACTCATAAGCCTCATCGGGACTGGGCTCTCAGCTGATGACTCCTGCAGCTCACTTGGACTCTGTCTAATCACAGAGTACTGCTGCTGGCCTTTTTATTTTAGGGAGAATACAACCTCCTTACTGATTGCTCACAAAGCTGTATCTCCAGGCTACCCAGGTATACCAATAAGCACCACTGCAGAGGCTTGCTTCGCTCTGCCCAGCTTATTGGCAAGCCACCTTGGTTTTCCTATTACCTTGAAATTCCCACCACGGGTCTGTCTCTTAAATTCCCTGTGTATATTACACTGCATTGAAACGTACTCCATTATGTTTCAATTAAAAAGAACATACCAGGTGGGGTTGCTCGGGCCTATAATCTCAGCATTTTGGGACGGCAAGGTGGGAGGACCACGAGAGCCCAGTAGTTTGTGACCAGCCAGTAGTTTGTGAATATTTCTACAAAAAGTTTTAAAAATTAGCTCAGCATGGTGGTACACACCTGTAGTCTCAGCCGCTCAGGAAGCTGAGGTGAGGGGATTGCTTGAACCCGGGAGATCGAGGCTGCAGTGAACTGTGATTTGTGCCACTGCATTCCAGCCTTGATGGCAGAGCAAGACCCTATCTCTTGAAAAAAAAGTCTCACCCTGGCTCTGTAGGACCTTTTGTGACCAGAAATAAGAAGCCCAAAAGCTGAAGTGGGAAGACATGGAACTGAAATCCCTATGTGTACTGGGGGAATTGGGTTGTCACAGTCATTAATAATCTAGCATTGTTTTTGCTTGATGGTTTGGGGTATATTTGTGAGTGCCGATACTACTGGGAATAAAAAAGGAATAGATTATGCATTTCTGGCTATTCCAGGAAACATTGGATGAATACATGACTATTGAAGGTGCATATGGAACATGTGTTGAGGTTTTGCTTTCTCAACTGTGTGAAGCCGAGAAAGTGCTCGTTGTGGCCTACCTTATATACCTAAACCATACATTAAAAACTAAAGGCCAAGCAAATTTAATTTAGAACTAGAAAGGAACAAGAATGGTTGAGGTTTCACTGTGACTTGAATTAGTAAGATATGTTTCTTTACATTTTCCAAGTCATCCTTTGAAAATCTGAGGAAAACTGTAGACTTGAGCAAAATGGACCCATGCTTGCAATTTTGCATCAATTCAGAAAGTCAATTCCAGGGGTAACTGAAGCTCATCCTCAGGTCCAGGTGAGGAACTCATCTGTCTTACACCAGTCCCCCAAGTTTGCCTGATAACAGGAGTCAGCTGTGGGACACTTGTTAAACTGCAATTCCTGGGTTTCAACCCACACCTACTGAGTCAGAAGCCAGGGAAAATACCTGGTAACATTGTTACTGGAAAAGGGTCCTGATCCAGACCCCAAGAGAGGGTTCTTGGATCTCGTGCAAGAAAGAATTCAGGGCGAGTCCACGGAGTAAAGTGAAAACAAGTTTATTAGTAAAGGAATCAAAGAATGGCTACTCCATAGAGCGGCCTTGAAGGCTGCTGGTTGCCTTTTTTATGGTTTTTTTTTATGATATGCTAAACAAGTGGTGGATTATTCATACCTCCCTTTTTAGACCATATAGGATAATTTCCTGACACTGCCATGGCATTTGTAAACTATCGTGGCACTGGTGGGAGTGTAGCATTGAGGACGACCAGGGGTCACTCTCACGTGCATCTTGGGTTTGCTGTTTTGGCTGGCTTCTTTAGTGCAGCCTGTTTTATCTGCCAGGTCTTTATGACCTGTATTTTGGGCTGACCTCCTATCTCGTGACTTAGAATGCCTTAACCACCTGGGAATGCAGCCCGGTAGGTCTCAGCCTCCTTTTTACCTACCTCCTATTTAAGATGGAGTTGCTGTGGTTCACATGCCTCTGACAACATTGAACAATTGCTGTAGAGCAGCACTGTTCACTAGTGATATGAGCCTCAAATGCAAGGCATGTATGTAATTTTAAATTTTCTAGTAGCCCCATGGAAAAAGTAAAGAGACATACATTAAATTAATTTTAATAACATGTAACCCAGTTATATCCAAAATATTTCAACATGTAATCAGTATTTTTAAAACAAAACAGATATTTTACATTTTTTTTTTTGTAGTTGTCTTCAAATTCCAGTGTGCAGGCCGGGCGCGGTGGCTCAAGCCTGTAATCCCAGCACTTTGGGAGGCCGAGGCGGGTGGATCACGAGGTCAAGAGATCGAGACCATCCTGGTCAACATGGTGAAACCCCGTCTCTACTAAAAATACAAAAAATTAGCTGGGCATGGTGGTGCGTGCCTGTAATCCCAGCGACTCAGGAGGCTGAGGCAGGAGAATTGCCTGAACCCAGGAGGCGGAGGTTGCAGTGAGCCGAGATCGCGCCATTGCACTCCAGCCTGGGTAACATGAGTGAAACTACGTCTCAAAAAAAAAAAAAAAAAAAAAAAAATTCCAGTGTGCATTTTATACCTACAGCCCATCTCAATTTGGACCAGACACATTTCAAGAGCTCAGACAGCCACCTGAGTGGCTAGTGGCTGCTGTGTTGGACACGCAGGTCTAGAGCAGCTGTTACTTAGCAATGGTTTAGCGTTTCTTTGGGTCCTGATGAATGATGAAGTCATCACTCTTATACTGCAGGTGTCTGCCTCACATGAAAACAGATAAACCCAAATTTTAGGTTTAAGTTTGCAGTTTGGCCTCATCTTTGCATCTTTAAATAAATGAGCATCATAGTTCTTTCCAGGGGTTTCTCCCAGCAGTTCACTCCCTTTCCCTTCTGGAGGCCAGGCAATTCTG